CCTGATCCCAGGCTGAGCCCCAATTCCTGACTGAGCCCTGATCCTAAACTGAGCCCAACCAAGGCTGGGCCCTGATCCCAGGCTGAGCCCCAATTTCTGACTGAGCCCTGATCCTAAACTGAGCCCAACCGAGGCTGATCCCCGATCACATGCTAAGCCCCAATTCCTAACTGGGCCCTGATCCTAGACTAAGCCTCAACCCCAGACTAAGCCCTGGTCCCAGGCTGAACCCTGATCCTAGACTGAGCACTGACCGCAGGCTGAAACCCCAATTCCTGACCTAGCCCTGACCCTGGCCTAAGGCCCAGCTACTGGAGACCAGGCCTCCCCACATGAGCTGTGCTCTCACCCCGACTTTGCCCACTGACTCCCTCCCCACCCTCAGCTCATGCAGCAGCAGACGACAGTCCTGTCCACCTCGGGCAGCTACCTGAGCCCGGGCATGGCCTTCTCACCCTGCCACATCCAGCAGATTGGCGCCGTCAGCCTGAACGGGCTGCCCGCCACGCCCATCGCCCCAGCCTCTGGTGAGCGTCCGCAGGGTTGCAGAATGGGTGGGCAGGGCAGGGCAGAGCCAGGCTCCCCCTGACCCCCTTCTGCTCCGCAGGGCTGCACTCGCCCCCGCTGCTTGGCACCACCGCTGTGCCTGGCCTCGTGGCTCCCATCACCAACGGCTTTGCAGGTGTCGTGCCCTTTCCTGGTGGGCACCCGGCCCTGGAGACCGTGTATGCCAACGGCCTCGTGCCCTACCCAGGTAACTCGGTGGTCCCCTGGACCTGGGAGAGTGGCGGAGGACAGGAATGGTGTTTCTGAAACAAATAGGAGTGCTTCCACTATGGTGCCCAGGAGCAGTCTCGGCTGGTATGAGCTGCAGGCACAGGGAGGGAACCACAGCACGGGGCTAGACATAGCAACTTTACACCCAGACGTTCCTGGGCTCAAATCGCAGTTCTGTGGCTGTGGGTATCTTCTAAGTCTCGGAACTTCCATTTTCTCATCTGGGAATTGGAGCAGATAACATCACACACCTCATGGGAGGTTGCAGTGAGAATTAAATCAGTATGTAAAATCGCCTGTTACAAAAACAAGACGCCGTAAATCTTAGCTATTACTCATTACCATTTGGGAAGCTATGAATACCTCTGTGCATGCATTCATTCATTTATTCAATAAGGACCATGTGCTGATTTGAGCTGGACCCTGTCCTCATGAAGCGGAGGTCCCATTTTTTTCTGCTCTACACCCACGATTTCAGGGCAAACCCCTTCCAACTCCTTACTTCTGTGGATTAAGTCGTCTGTTGTTTCCACCATCAGATAAAATTTGTTTTTAACTTTTTATTTTGAAATAATTACAGGATCACAGGAAGTTGCAGAAATAGTAGAGAGAGGTCTCGCGTACCCTTCATTCAGCTTCCCCCAGTGCTAATATTTTCCATAACCACAATACATTGTCAAGAACAGGAAATTGACATCCTTGTTGTTGTTACAAACCCCATTGCTGTCAAGTCGATTCCAACTCATAGCTACCCTATAGGACAGAGTAGAACTGCCCTATAGGGTTTCCAATGGGTGGCTGGTGGATTTGAACTCCCGACCTCTTGGTTAGCAGTCATAGCTCTTAACCACTGCGCCACCAGGGCTGTTGTTAATTAATTATTGTTGTTGCTGTTAGTTGCCTTTGAGTCGATTCTGACTCATGATGACCCCATGTGTGTGGAGGAGAATTGTTCTATCGTGTTTTCAAGGCTGTGACCTTTCAGAAGCATTTCATCCGGCCTTACTTCCAAGGCACCTCTGGGTGGGTTCAAACACCCAACCTTTTGGCTAGTAGACGAGCGCTTAACCATTTGTGACACCTGAGGACTCCATTGTTGTTAGGTACCGTCAAGTCGGCTCTGACTGATAGCGACTCTATGTACAATGGAACGAAACACTGCCCGGTCCTGCGCCATCCTCACAATCGTTGCTATGCTTGAGCCCATTGTTGCAGCCACTGTGTCAATCCATCTCGTTGAGGGTCTTCCTCTTTTTTGCTGACCCTCTACTTTACCAAGCATGATGTCCTTCTCCAGGGACTGGTTCCTCCTGATAACATGTCCAAAGTACATGATACAAAATCTTGCCATTGTTGCTTCTAAGGAGCATTCTGGCTGTACTTCATCTAAGCTGCCTTGTTCGTTCTTCTGGCCGTCCATGGTGTATTCAGTATTCTTCACCAACACTGTAATTCAAAGGCATCAATTTTTCCGTCTTCCTTATTCACTGTCCAGCTTTTGCACGTATATAAGGCGATTGAAAACGCCATGGCTTGGGTCAGGCACACCTTAGTCCTCCAAGTGACATCTTTGCTTTTTAGCACTTTAAAGAGGTCTTTTGTGGCAGATTCACCCAGTGCAATACCTCATTTGATTTCTTGACTGCTGCTTCCATGGGCGTTGATTGTGGATCCAAGTAAAATGAAATCCTTGACAACTTCAGTTTTTCCTCGGTTTATCATGATGTTGCTTATCGGTCCAGTTGTGAGGATTCTGGGGACTCCGTTGGTACCATACAGTTAACTGGGCTCCAGACCTTATTGCTATTTCACTCCTTTTTACATACACTCCTTGTGTGTGTGTGTATGTGTGTGTGTGTGTGTGTGTAGTTCTGCGGCATCCTATCACAGATACAGATTCATGTAAGCACCACCCATACAAGCTACAGAACTGTCCATCACCACATAGTAACCCCTTCATGCTGCCTTTTTATATTCACACCTTCCACCACCACCATTTGCCTTCTAACAACCCCTCTCCATGCAAGCAGACATGTTTGGCTGAACGTTCCCCCAGGCTCACAAATTTTGGTGGCTTGGATAACCTCTCCCTAGCCCACCCACCTCTGGTGCATCCTTAGGGGCAGCCTGAACATTCGAGGTCCAGGGAGAGGAGTGGAGATGGGAGAAAGCAGAGTCTGATGAGCAGGCTATGCTGAGGGAGATGGGACGGGGCTGGGGAATCCAGAGAGTAGAGGGGAGGGGCGAAGGGGTCCCCTTGGGAGCTGAGGGGGTCAGGATGGGGAGAGAGATGGAGGTGAAGGAGTTGGATAAACCTGGATTCTGGTTCAGCTTCTGCCCTTTCCAATCTGAAGCCCTGTGCAAGTCCTGTCACCTCTCTGAGCCTCAGTTTCCTCACCTGTAAACTGAGGGTCATACCTGTAAAGGGCTCAGCGAAAAGGTGGAGCTGGGGCGAATGTTTGTTGCCCTCCGTCCAGCTCTTGAGGAAGGGGAGGGGAGAGCCTTCCTGCTGCCCCCGTCCCACTCAGAACCCCTCTGCTCGCAGCTCAGAGCCCCACCGTGGCCGAGACACTCCATCCTGCCTTCTCCGGAGTCCAGCAGTACACAGGTAGGAGTGACCTGCCTGGCCCCGTCCCCATGACCAGCCCCGCCCCCTCAGCCCTGTCTCTTCTCCACGTCTAGCCAGGCTTCCTCCCTCCGGCCCCGCCCCACTTATGACCACGCCCTCAGGCCACGCCCTCACACCTGTCTCCCCTTCTTGCCTAGCCACACCTCCTCCCTCTGGCCCTGCCCCCTCAGGGCCTACCCTAGCCCTGGCTCCACCCCTGTCACCACATGGCCTGCCGCTCAACATGGCCCCGCCCCAACACCCCTGGCACCGCCCACTCCAGCGCTCACCTCTGGGCCCGCTCCCTCAAGTTCACGGTTGAAGGCTCCCCTTCATCCCCTTTTAACCAGGCCCATCTCAGCCCTTGAGCCTGTCCTTCCCCACTCCAGCTCCTCAGAGTTCACCTGCGGCCCGCCCCTTACTCCTGCCCGGGTCTTCCAGCAGCCCCTGCCCCTCAAGTCCTGCCCCCTCTCCAGCCACCCTCCCTAAGGCAGGTCTTGGCCCTGCTCTCTGCCATGGCTCCGCCCCTCAGACCTGCCCCACCACCACGGCTCCGCCCCTCAGACCTGCCCCACCACCACGGCTCCGCCCCTCAGACCTGCCCCACCACCACGGCTCCGCCCCTCAGACCTGCCCCACCACCATGGCTCCGCCCCTCAGGTTCTGCCCCGACTCTGGCGCTCTCTTCCACCCCTCCCCTTCCTAACGCCTAGCCTTGGCCCTGTCGTCCACTGTAGCCCTGCCCATGATGTTCTGGCCCGGCCCTGCAGCATGACCCTGCCCTCTGCTCTGGCCCTGCCCTCAGGCCCGCGCTCCACCATGGCCCTACCCATGCTGTCCTGGTCCCACCCATTATTTGGCCCCACCCTCAGGTCCACCCTCCACCATGGCCCCACCCACAACATGCTGCACCTCCTCGTCCCCCCACATCCCCGGCTGCCCGGCACACAACGTAGCCCCACCCTCAGGTCTGTTCCGTGATGTGACTCGTCAAGTCCTGCTCTGGCCCCAACCGCCAATATCCTGGATCCAGCCTCCACTGTGGCCCCGCCCATGACACGACCACCCACTTAGGTCTGTCCCTCGCCCTGACTCTTCCCGTCAAGTCCTGCTTTGGCCCCGCCCTCAGGCCTACCCTCCACCATAGCCCCGCCCCTGAAGTGCTGGACACGGCCCTCACTGTGGTGCCTCCCAAACGTCCTGGCCCCGCCCTACCACAGCCCCTCCCAGGTCTGCACTCCGCTGCAGCCCCGCCCATGACATTCTGGCCCC